AAGGTTTTCGAATGTCGTTAAAGCTGCATTTCTTGGATTCTCTTGACCTTTTCCCATATAATTTAGGCGCAGTTTCAGACAAACATGGTGAAAGCTTTCATCAGGAGATTCGGACCATAAGAAAAGGTTTCAAGGCAAATGGAATCGAGCTATGATGGCCGATTATTGTTGAGACATTCAAGAGACTCATAAACGATATTCCAATATCTTATTCAGCTCATGTTTTTTTTATATGTCTTTATACGAAAAGCAGCAGTTACATTAAAAGTCTTTTTTTTAATATTTCTAGAAATTAGGACGTATAGGATAAAAACTAATGCGATTTTTGGATTTAGCATGCTTGAATTAACTAGTAAGACATAATTATATCCGCTGAAAAAAACTTTGTTGACCAGGGTAGTTTATTAGAACTTAGGGCTTTTTATAAAAATTTAAAAAAATAATAATCAAATTAGAAAATTATCTTTCAAACGTTAAAAATAAAAAAAAGAAAATAAGAAACATAACTTTTAATATTTAATATTTAATTTTTGATATTAAAAGTAATATTTCAAATATAGGAAAAACTCTTAAGTAAAGAATAACAAACAGGACCTGACGTTTTAACTAGAGGCTATTGCAAAATATTTTGTATTTTAACATGATTAGATTTAACGAAAAATTTTAAAAAGTACTTTACACTGTAGAAATATTTTTTCTCGATAAAAAGAAACAACTTGTTGCAAGACTAAGTAATAATAAATTATTGTATTTAATAAGGACAAAATTAGTATAGCTAAAGCAAATAAGTTTGCATACTATCGATGGTCAAGTTAAAACTTTTTTGAGGGTAGATAAGTGGCAAGTTTCTAAAAGTGTTTAAGTTAAGGAAAGGCAAGGTTGTTATTCATTAATAATTGTGTAAGTCATTGAGACTGAGATATTTTCGACAAAGACAATACAAAACATAAATATAGAAGAAATTGAAGTTAAAGGAACAGAAGTTTAAAACCAGTAAAATGCACATGACATATTATATATTATGTTCGTAGACAAATTTATAAAAAGCTGGCGAAACTGGCGATTTATAAGAAGCTTTACCCATCTCATAAAAGAATTTTTATATAGAATTTACCAAAATATAATCGCATTTTTTCGTTTCTTTAAAGTACTAAGAATAAGTTTTTAAATTATAACAAAAAAATTCGTAACCAATAAACTTTCTAGAAAGCCTGAAGTTGGTAAAAAATTGCTTTGCTTGAATTAAATACCCTTTTAGGTATGACTGTATAAATACACTGCTTATACAAAATGGTAAATTTTTGTGGAACTTTTGAAAAAAATGTTTCAGGTACTTATCACTTATAAAAAGCAGACTGAAATAAATTTTAGCCAAAAAGTATTTTATTTTCAATGATTGCCTTTTACTTCTGCAAAAAGTACATTGTTTTGAATTTAAAAAAAAATTCATGTTAAAAATGAGTTTTGCAAGTAACATACGTTAAAAATATTTTTGAAATTCAGAATATAGAAACTTTTGAAATTCAGAACTATAGAAAGTTTGAGTTTAAAAATCAGAAGAGCTAATTAAATGATGAAAAAAAAAATCTCTTAAGAAAAATAAAATTAAAGCTAAATAACCGTTTTTTTGAGTTTAACTTTATTGAAGATAAAAAACCTTTTATAAAGCTAAACTTAAAAAAACGTTTAGAAACCTTTAGAGCTTGGTGTTAAGACTAAATTTTTCTACATCTTACCCCGGTCAAGTGATTATTTTTTATAAGTTACGACTGTAAATTTTTTTTATTGGCAACAGTGTCAATAAATAAAAAAAATAAAAATAAATAATTATTAGGAAATATTCTAATTTCTTATAGCCAGTGCTTTTAAATTTTATAAGAAGAATAAACGTTACGAACATTACGACAATGTAATAGAGAGTGGCTACAAGAGCAGGTCTAACTATGTTAACAATACGTTTTTGCACCTTATCTAAAATAGAAAGAGCATCATTAGAAAATCCGCCCCAGATATGACAACAGTATTCCATACAAAGACGGATTTGAGATTTATATCTGAAATCCGCAACAGTGCAATCTGAGGAAAGCCATGAAGAGGAGTGAGACTTGACCTGGAATTGTCGAGAGGAAATAAAATATTCTATGCCAGCCTGAATCCACGAAGTTATGTAGGAAGCACATTTGTCAGCAGGAAGACAAAAGATTTCTACCCAAGGGCCATCACGAAGAAAATCACGGATAGAGTGCTAGTCAGCATTAAGGTAGCTGTAAGAGGTACGATGATAGGGGATTCAGATGATAAAGAAGAATAAGATAATAGTTTTAGAGAGATCAAACCGTGATCAGAAGCATCTAAGAATGAAAGTGGAGAGACTGAGCACTGACTAGGATCAGATATATGACATAGGTTGAGTAGAGAAGGTAAATGATTCGATTTGCCTGGAAAGCAAGTTGTAAAGTTGACTATTTTATTTAGAGATTGAGAGAAGCAAAAGTTGTGACTTTAACGGCTGCAGAGTCACTGACACTAGAGCCAAGCTACTCAGTGTGATGAGCATTAAAGTCACCGACAACAACAATATTGGCTGATGGATAAAGAAAAAGGGTTTGGTCAATATGATCAGGTAAATACTTCAATGACCACGAATATTAGTGAATAATAGGTTTAGAAAACTTGGTGATGACGATAGTTTTTTGTGTTTAATAGTTTTTGGTGATTTATTTATTTTTAAATTTGTTAAAAAACTTGACTCAAAGCATTGGCAGTACTCAGTATACTGTTTAATAGCCCAAGTAATTGCCTCATTAATATTAATAAAACCTAAGCCGTAACACAGGGTTCCAAATATGGTCTTGACAATGCAAGCCAAAATACAAACAGGGACACCATCCATGTGCAACATTGCGCTGCTATTTCTCTGATATTTTTCATCTGTAAATAGAACCAGCCTCTCTGAGAGCTACCACAACTTTTGGAAACCTGACTACCAGCCGGCCTTAGAACCATAAAATTTTGTTTTAGAACTGTACCCTCATTAGGAGATAATAGAATTCCTCCTCATTAGGAGATAATAGAAACAGATTCTATTTATTGACCAGCCTTGCACCCCTTTAATATCTATTAGGCTGGCGCACATATATTATAGTACATTATTTCCAGTTAAACTGGTTAAACAGTTAAAGATGTATTTATAATACAATGGTTCCAGTTAAACTGGAAACATTGTATTATAAATACAATGTTTCCAGTTTAACTGGAATTTCCAACTTAAAATATTTATAATATCTTAAGTTGGAGTTGGTTTCTCCTAGTCTTTGCCTAAAAAGGTGTATTTTACAAGGCAGCAGGACATGAAGCAAGTTGTACTGGTTTAAATGTTACCAGTAACAGGATAAACGTCAAGTTGTGTATTGGAATTGGAATGATATTTTACTAATGATGTTTGGGAAATATATAAATCATGCATTTGGATTAGTAGAATTTTGGTCCTTAATAACGTTTAACCAACGTAAATTACACGACATCAACTTAATGTCTTAAAAGTTGTTAAACCTTTTCATTTTGAAATTTAAAAGCTGACGTTTAATCAACATTAAGACAACGTCAAGTCAACGTTAATTTTGACGTCGACTTAATCTCGTTATTTAACGTTAAAGAACTTTTTCAAGTTCCAACTTTACATAATGCCCAACCAACGTCCAACTTTACATAACGTCCATAACGTTGATTAAAAGTTAATTTAACGTTTAATCAACGTTAAGTCCACGGTAAAATGCCCGCTGGAATGAGTTAATAATAGAATGTTAGATTTAACTTTGTTAATTACACTGTTAAAGATTAGCCAAAAGTTGCTAGAACTTCTAAGATAAGATATGAGATTAAAAATAATGGAGCTTAACATCATGAGCATCTTTATACATTAATTTGACTTTTAGATGGATCCTCAACTTTCACGTTATTAAAATAATTATACGAGGCTATTGTGGTTTCTTGATTCATACATCCAGATAAGCAATTGTATCTACTTTAAATAGAAAATTTGGCTTCTATCTTTAAATAGTTCAGCTTCTCAAAGAAAAGTTTATAGTTAATACTATGGAGTAGTCATAGAAACACATTAAGGAAGTAGTAATTAAATACTTTACGAAATAATTCTTAAATAGATACGGGTTAGAAAAACACTAAATAGAAAATCAAAGTGGAAAGCTTATTTCCAATCTAATTTTGTTTAAATATCAAGTTACAAAAAAAATGTATTGCAGAATAAAAAAGCAAATAAACTTTTAAACTAAATAAATACTAAGTAATTCATTACACACACCGTCAAAAAATCTAAAAGTTGCCCATGATGGAACATAAAAGTCAAAATAAAAGTTACCATAGTTACCACTGATACTATAATCATTACCTAGTTACCACTGCTTATTAACTACTTAAACAGTCAAATCATTTTTTAAGCTAATTCGGCAAATGTCTTACTGTGCAACGTAACAGTTTTTTTCCAAATCTGGTAGCATAAATTCTTTTCAATATAAAAATAAAAAAAAGTTGTTTAGAAATCTTAAAAAGAAAATGATTGAAACTTAAAACGAGAACTATAAGAATCCTAAACCAACCAAAAATCAGAATTAAAAACTATATCATCTACATTATTTATTGAATAACTAACCATATCAACTACATAATTTCTTGAATAGCAAATCATAGCACTACATTAAGTCCGTATTTTAAAGTATATCTGAATATGAAAGTAAAGTGATAATTTGATAAGTTCTATAGTTCTTATTGGTTCTATTTTTTTCAATTTTTGATCATGCTCTTGGTAACTTTGAGAAAAACAAAATTTTTTAAAAAGTTATTAGTTCCAGAAATAAAACAACTAAGAAAATTAATTGAACTTTAAAATAGTAAAGTTTCATTTCTGCATTAAAGAGTATATAAAAAATACTTGTATCTAAAAGAATAAACATACCTGTACCTGTAGCTTAAAAATAAAATACCTGATTTACACGAAGTATTTCATCGCCAGCGTATAGTAAGCTGTTTACGTCAACAAAACTTCCCAGAGTGACGCGAGAAACAAAAATCTTCTCGTGAGTTTTTTCAATACCATTTCCTAATCTAATATAAAAACCAAGTGGTTGTCCTGGAGATTTTTTTATCTCTACGTTTTTTATAACGTTTCCTTGTTGATCTAAAAAAATTTCTTTTATTCCTGACAACTTTCTTGCAGTATCTTCTACTAATTTAATGCTTAAACGCCTTTTATTGCTATATTTATCATTAAACTCAGTTTTATCTTCGATTTGTTTGTTCTGCTTTAAAAATATTCCTCTCTTGAAAAACTTTCTACTTTTTGAATCTGGAGAAACTTTTGGATTAATGGGATCACTCACAGATCGGATTCGAGTATTTTTATAAATTGGTTTATCTGCACGAAATAAATTTTCAACTGACATAGCAATGAACATAGAGGAAGGTTTTACTTTTTCCTGTTTCTTTTTAAACTCTACCAAATCTGATGTAAACTTATTTTTGTCAATGTTTAGGCCTAAACTTAACTCCGTTTGTTTAGATAAATGTTTCCGTACTTTATTACTGGGTAAACTGGGTTCACCGTCAGTGACATCGCAATATCGCAAATCATCTGTTTGTTCATACAGTTCAAAAGAAGTTAAATCTCCAACACTACGGCTTACATCTTTACAAGCAACGTTAGTTCTATTTTCGTTTAGTTCAGATTCGTCAAGTGAACAATACAGTAATGATGAGGACTTTTTTTTTGAGTTTATTGGAAGAATTTTTTGTAACAAACTGTCATTCTCGTTTAATATTTTTAGCAAATTGTTGTTTTCGCTACCGTTTGACAAACCGTTAAAATCGTCTCCAACATAATCTCTACAACTCATTGTCTTGCTTGTTAATGAGCTGATGAATGACAATTAATAAACTTTTGTTTTTTTTTTACATTATTTACTTTAGAGTGAAGATAATTTTACTTCAACTTTTATAATGTTTAAATATCATTCATTTTGTTTTTGTCACTTTTATTTTAGTTTTTACTTATAAAGCCTGCATCAAAATATGATTTGCATAAATGTTTTAATATTGTGACAAGTTTCTCACAAAACAAACGTAGACAAAATAAACTAAAAAATCTGGTTAATAAAGACATTAATTACACAAATAAAAAATATATAAACTGTAAGTAAAATAAAATAATAGTATATATATATATATATATATATATATATATATATATATATATATATATATATATATATATATATATATATATATATATATAATTAATAATACTGAACTTAGTAGTTTCCTTTCGAGGTTGTTTGACACGGAACCCGTGGCAGCCTTTGCAACTAACATAGTAGCAAGAAAGAGTCGCAGCACTTTGTTTTATAAGAAAACCTGAACGAATGTGTATGCAAATATCTAACGTGTATAAACTTTAAGTTAAGTAATGTTAAAACATATGCTAAAGCATACTGAAACATCTATCAAGATTTACAGTTTGATTTTCACTTGAAAATTGCATTGCGTCAAGCTCTTTTTAGTTTTGATCTATAACAATTTTTTCAGTTGAAAAAGCATTATATAGTTTTAAAAATCTTCGCTTAACTCTTAGTACAGCAGTTTTTTTTAAAAACTTTTGGCCGTGACCGCTCTAATTTAAAAAAAATCATCACATTCTATACAAAACTAATAGAAAACATAACAAACTATATATATATATATATATATATATATATATATATATATATATATATATATATATATATATATATATATATATATATATATATATATATATATATATATATATATATATATATATATATATATATATATATATATATATATATATATATATATATATATATATATATATATATATATATATATATATATATATATATATATATATATATATATATATATATATATATATATATATATATATAAAGTTTATGAAAAGAACTTTCTAAATATATAAAATTTATATATACTGTATTTCTTACTAAGAACTACAAAGAGTATAAAGTTTATTTTTTGGAAGAAAAATGTTTTAATTAAAAACAAAGTTCTTTTATATAAATTAAGAATAAAATACTTTGATGTAATATTTTACCATTTTAACAAAAATTTCTGCGCAATCAATAAATGATATTATTTAGGTGTTGTGGCAAATATAACAGCCTTATCTGTCATAGAAACGTTTCTAACTTATTTTTCTTTTATATAAATTAAGAATAAATTACTTTAAAAAACATTTGTAACAACTAATATAGTCAATAGAACAATTTTATCGCTTTCAACATACTTAATCAAATATATTGTATTGTTATATCTTTCCAGGACTGGATTTGGACTTTGTTGACCTTTGTTTAAAAGTGTAGAATTTCAGATTAAGTGTAGAATTCAGATTAAAAGAAAACTTTTTATTTTTCCATCTACCCTTAAATTTAATGACCATTTCATCAATAGAAACATCTTCGGATGGATAAAATGCTTTTTGATAATTTGCGATAAAATTTTCCTTTTGCGTGGCTCTCTTGAGATGGAGCAACATGAAGCATTGTATGGTAAATTGTCTTTAATCTATTTGTTCCACGATATTGTGCGATATATATCAGTTATTGACCAATGGTCTTTAATTGAGGGTCTTTTATCTAATCCCATAGCAATCATGACACCGATGACTTAATAATATCATATTTATTAATTAGGGTCTAAGAAAAACATATAGATGAAATTAAACTTGGGCTATTTATTTGCATTTTGTAGGAGGCAAAAAAATTAATAAACATAACTAATTCATCTTAAATTTTGTCACTAAAAAATTCTTTATAACAGTCCAAAATAGTTTAGTTTTCATCTAGTTTTGCATTGACTCCAAGTCTATGGAGTCAATGCAACACTAGATGAAAACTAACTAGCTTAGGAAAAAAACAAAACAAATGTGTTGGAATATCGTTGTAATCTTCATCAAGAAGTAGCCACAAACCAATAATGTCACAACTATGGGATGTAACATCTATAAACTTTCCTTTTCACTATCTTCTTATAACATCTATAAACTTTCTTCTTCAACTTTCTTTCTTATTTATAGGAGAAGCTTCTGTGGAAGAAGTCGTGATTATCAAAGGGAACAAAACAGTTTCTTCCTCATTTAAAGATTCAAAATCTTCTGAGCTAGAACTGCTTTCAAACTCTCTTTCTAACTCAATATGATCTTCATTTAACCAATTAAGCATTATTTTAGAAGCTTCATTGGCTCTATAAGTTACTTTCGACGACTTCATTTTGCTAGCGGTTTAAAATATTTTAAACTTTGTAACAAAATTTTGCTATAATTTATGCAATATGGCTTTTCTTTTTTACTAATTATGCAGAGAATTTGTTAATGTTTTATATTCACTCATGATGGAGGAAAAAAATAATGATATAAATGTTTACAAATATTATTAAAAGTATACATAAAACAAAGCCTCGTGGCTAAAGCTGAAAACTATTAAGAATGTACGGCACATAAATACGGTGCCAATATAATTACATATTAAAAATGGTGTCATAAAAACTAAATACCCCAACTTGGCAACATATAATTTTAAAGTCCAAATAAAAATTCCTTAAACTTTTGTAAGAAATCTTTCTTTCCTGGCTTCGTAAAAACGCCAGCATAATTTTCATTTGATTGTATATAATAGAATACGACCTAATAGTATACTCTAATAGTATACGACCTTGTTGATAAAGTTCACGTATAAAATGATAATGTATGTCTATATGTTTAGATTTCATACGTTTTATAGGATTTTTCGCCAATGCAATCGCCCCTTGGTTATCGTTTTTAAGGGTTACTGGTTCGAATTTTATTTCTAATAGTTCTCCTAATAGTTTTTTTAAATAACTAATTTCTTGGCAAGCTGCTAATATGGACATATATTCTGCTTTACAGGTGGACAGTGCAACACTTGATTGTTTCTTTGATTTCCAACTTATGACTGGTCCATTTTTACACAAAGAAAAACAGTAACCTGATATAAAGTGTCGATCTTCGAAAGATGAAGCCCTATCTGCATCGCAGAAAGCATAAAGCTTTAACTCATCAGCCTTTCTAAAAGTTAAACAGTAGTTTAAAGTATGTTCAATATAACGAAATACATGTTTAATCATAATCCACCGCTATTTGGTTTTGATAGATGCTGAGATAATCTTGTAACAACATAGCTCAAATTTGGTCTCGTACATGTCATTACGTAAAGAAGATTTCCAACCATTCGTTGATATAGCTTTATCTCTGAATTTGATTATGGTATGAACTGGAAACTTACTCACATGGGGTTGATCTTGGTTTGTAATTGTCAAAACCAAATTTTCGTAGAACATTTTGCAAGTAATCTGATTGATTCATAGTGATATAAGAACTAGTTGATTTGATTTAAATACCGAGGAATGAAATCAATGGTCCTAAATCTTTCATTTTAAATCGTTTTCTTAATTTCTTCTTAATTTTAATTAATAGTTCATTTGAGTAGGCAGCTATGATTATATCATCAACCCATACTAGGATTATTGCTATTTCAGTATTGCTTCTTTTAACAAAAACGCAAGCATCAGCATTTGATTGAATAAATTGTATTTCCTTGAGAAATTCACTTGAAATATTCTGCCAATTTTTACCACTTTGTTTTTTCCATCTAATTGTTTATTGTTGTGAGTTTTTTCATAACCAGGAGGTTGGTTTACATAAATTTCATGTTCTAAAGGTGCATGTAGATAACCACTTTTAACATCCATTTGATGTAAAATAAGGTCATATTGGATAGAGAGTTGCATTAAAATTCGGACTGATTCCATCCTAGCTGTAGGTGAAGAAGTTTCTAATTAATCAATCCATTGAGTTTGCTTGTAGCCCTTTGCAACATATCTAGCTTTGTTATAATTTTATTATTGTTCCTTTAAGTGTAGATCCATCTTCCCCCAACTACTTTTTTATTTGCTGGGAGTTCAGTAACAATAAAAGTATCATTATTCGTTAATGATTGGATTTCTTAATCAATGGCACTTTTCCATTTATTAGACTCATCTGTGTTGGTAGCATTATTGAATGATGTAGGTATATTTATCAAATAACAATAATCTATATTGTTAATTACATCGTCATAATCATTATCATCTATATAATCTTCCAGATATTTTGGGACTTGTCTTTGTGTTTGAGGGTAACGTGATGGCTTAGGTGTAGGCTCTGTAGCTTTTAATTCAACATTTATAAAATCATCTGTATTGTAGATATCTATTTGGCTAACAGATTCATATTTTTCTGTAAATTTTACAAAACTGTGTTTTAAAATTGAATTCGATTCTGGATAATAAACTAGGTATGATGGACTGTCTTTATCGTACCCAACAAAATAACCTTTAATGCTTCTTGGTTGTAACTTTTTAGTATTATGTACATATGGGTAACATACTGATCCAAATAAGTCTAATCTTAAAATGTTTGGCTTTAAACCAGTTATTAATCCGTATGGTGTACTTTTAATTCGTTGAACATAGCATCAATTTCTTATATATGTTGCAGTGCTAATTGCATAAGTCCATAAATGTTTTGGGAGCTTAGATTCGATAATCATGGCTCTTGCCATGTCAAATAGTGAACGCCAATTCCTTTCTGTGGTTCCATTTTGATCAGGGGAATAAGGTGATGTAAGTTCATGTTTAATGGTATGTTTTAGAAGCATTTCTTTGAATTCTTTTGATAAATATTCACCTCTATTATCACTGCGAATACATTGTACATTACCAGATGGAGAAATATTATTATAAAAACTAAATGTTTTAACCTTTCCATATGGAGCAATATCTGGTAGAAATTTTTCAGCAGCTTTCGCAGCATCACTTTTTTGTTGTAGAAAATATGTAAACAAACAACTTGAGTAATCATCAATAAAATTTATAACATACTTAAATCCTCCTATAGCTACAGGTTCTATAGGTCCAGCTAAATCAGTCTGTACAAGTTGGTATGGGTAAATTGCCCTTGTGTCAGGTTGTTGTTTAGAAGTGTTAACATTTTTAGATAGAATACATATTTCACAATCAAATTTAGCAGTATTGTTTATTTTC